CATGACACAAAAACTGATGGGTCGTGCCAAGCTCGACACAAAATAAATGGGCCCGAAACGTGCCCTTGTCGTGCCAGCACAAGCACGGCTCAGCGCCCATGTACATATGCACTAGACCTGATCTTTCACATGTTGTTAGTGTTGTCAGCAGGTTCATGATACAACCTGGGAAAGAGCATTGGCAGGCTGTGAAGAGGATACAGAGTGCGTGATGTCTGGGTATTCAGACTCAGACTATGCTGGAGATGTTGACACAAGGAGATTGATGACCGGTAATGTATTCACTCTTGGGAGTTCTGTAGTGAGTTGGAAGGCAACTCTGCAGTAAGCGGTGTCATTATCTACTACTGATCGAGGCAGAGTATATGGCGTTGACATAAGCTGCTAAGGAGGGAATATGGTTGAAGGGACTGGTTGGTGATCTGGGTCTACACCATGATCAGGCAGTGGTGTATTGCGACAGTTTAAGTGCAATATGTTGGGCCAAGGATCAAGTCCACCATGAGAGGACTAATCACATCGACTTGAGGTATCGTTTCTTGAGGACAGAGAAAAGGATAAAGGTGAAGAAGGTTGGTACCGCGGATATTCCTGCTGACATGTTCACGAAGCCGGTTCCACATGGAAAGTTCCAACACTACTTGGACTTGCTGAATGTCTTCAGTGGGTGACTCTGCCCAACGGGGCATTGATGGAAGGTGAGAGAGAGAAGGAGCATAGTACATTAGAGATTTCAGAGTAAGAGGATTCAAGTCAAGGTGGAGATATGTTGATGTGACTTGAATCGGGCTATCAGCCGCTACGACTGGAAGTCATGGGGGTCTCCCTGAATCTATATGGGTCGATACGCGTTTGGGTTGTCAGTTTTGGGCCTCGTCTGTAACTGTTTCCTTTACCAGATTGGATTAGGATTAGACCTACATGGAGAAGTATAAATACTTCTAATCTCCTCTCACTACAAAAAAGATGAGGTTTGGAGACGACAAAAGTCGTCCCCGGAAATAGGAAAAATCGTCTCCATAATTTTTGGGGACGACTTAGTCGTCTCCAATGTGTGGTTCCCTATACTCTTGTCCTCTATTATTTTGGGGACGACAAAAAGTTAGTCGTCCCCGTTATCAGGGACGACAATCGTCCCCAATACTCACAAGTTCTCGTGTCATCTTTTTTCCATGAAAGACAATGTGTCGTCCCAATAGCCCTGATGTTGGCGACAAAAAGTCGTCTCCTATACATTATTTTTAGGGACAAAATATTGTTCCCAATAATACATTCCGGAATAATATTGTGGTTGTTTAGGGATAATAGATTGTCCCCCTATGTTCCTTTATAGGGTCAATTTGTCGTCCTCGTATCTATGTCAACAAATTGTCTCCTTTTCAAGGTAGTTTCTTGTGACCAGATTATGCAAACATCCGATTTTAGAAGATCTACTGAATAAACCGAACAAAAGCTCAGGCTGAGCGAATTCAATACCAACTTGAAGTGGAGCAGCAATGGATTCATTATAATAAACATACAATAATACAATGTGTTGTTCCCATACCATGAAATAATTAATAGTTTGTACCTTTTATATACAAATACATTAAGGAAAATAATAAATGACCAATAGAAAAGTGTTGTGGCTGTGCATTGCGTATTTGCGGTGTCATTCATCGTTATTCTGTCGGGATCACTTCTCAAGCCTCGCGTCCCACCTAAATACTTCCGCCAGAGATACCGCCCCAATGTAACACGACCCACGCAGTGTCTGCAACGTTGCCCCCGACCTGTTCTCTAAAAAAATCGTTGCCGCCGATATCATCACGTTGTCGATTGGAGAAGAAAACGAAAAGACAATGTCAAAGAAAGATAAATCTAAAACCAATAATGAATCGATGATTGAAAACCAACAAAAATGGAACTGATATGAATCCCATCATAGCCGGTCTCTACCGAAGACGAGGAGGAAGTGTTGCTAGACCAAGACGATGGAGAGGGAAGTGCCGCCGCTAAGTGCAAAAAGATAGAGAATCAAAAGAAGACCATTAGGCCGAGAGAAGGTGAAGAGTGGATTATTGAGCTAGGGTTTTTGTTGGTACTTAAAGCTAAATGAACGTTTGAGATTAAGATCTGTATAAATCAAAAGGCTGAGATTAAATGGAGAGTTCTGGATCTCCGTTACTTTTTTTTTTATTTAAACTATTACCCTCTTTGCGTGTTCTTCTGTGTGTTGGTCTAATCCCAGGTATGGAAATATATTAATAGTTATATGTTCTTTTTTTTTTTAATTTCACTACTATTTTAATCAAGGGTGCCTAATTAAAATACTCCATTAATTTATACTTAAGTTTGGTGAGTAATTCATTGGATGAGTTATTAGTCCACTTGTAAATGACATTTTATCTGCTCCTATAGTCCATTTCACAATAATATTGTAGGGGACAATATATTGATATTTTTATAGGTCTAACATGTCGTCCCTATAAAATATTGACTTGAAATCAACAAATTGTCTCCAAAAGTTGGATTTAAGGACAATAAATTATATTTCCTACTATATTATTTGGATATCTAGTTGTCACCTATAGGAGTGGAAATCGGTACGGTATCTGTATCCCAATACCAAATATCAAAATTCTGAATACCGAATTACACTCGAAAGACAATCTCAATCCCAATCCCTAAATAATTTCTGTATCCCAATCACTAAATATTCCGGTATCTCAATCGGTACTTCGGTATCCCAATCGGTATTATCGAATACCAAATTAATTATATTTGAATCAAATAATTAAATATATAAATTAGATTTGATTGTTTAATTTAGAGCAAAGAGACTAAGCGAAGAGTCTTGAGTTTGCCTATAGCTAGGATATGGATAAGGAGAATGAAGGAGATGTGACATCTCAAGTTCTTGGCATTGGTAATCTTTAATTTGACGAATTGGAGACTGAGAGACGACTAATACTAGTGTTTGCTTTTTGGGGTTATGAAAATAACAAGTGATTAGGTGAGAGATGAGAGTGACTTAAATTGGAAAGTCATAATTGAGTTGGATGGGGACTTCTGAGTTGTAAAACAAAGATGGAATGATCTACGTATAATTAAATGACACTCTTGGTGGTTGAGGGTCGTGTAGTAGTGAATGAGAGTCGAGTTGAGAGGATAAAATATACACTAGCTTATATTTCGGTATTGATCGGTATTTCGGTATATACCAATCTCAATCCCGTAATCCCTAATACCGAATCACAATTGAAATTCAATCCCAATCCCAAGAAATAATACGTGTATTCGGTAATACCAAATATAGACAAATTCGATACGGTATTCGGTATATTCCAAATACCGATACCAAACTTCCAGCCCTAGTCACCTATACAACTTTTAGACATGACCAATTGTCTTTATTTGGTAAAGTGGAAGATGAGAAATTGTCACCCATGTAACTTTTAGTCATGATTAATGACCCCCTTAATTTGTGTTTACGAAGATGAGGAGTTAACCACTTTAAATTATAGTCACAACAAATCCCTTGGCCTTTATTTTAGGAGATAACTACTTGCCCTCTATATAATTTGCAGGGACGACCATTTATCCCTTAACCTTTATCTTTCGAGCTGGTTAGTGGTTACCTATATATGTTTTTGGACTACTATATGCCCATTAACCGGTGTTTTTAGGATGATAAATGGTGACCTATCTAGCTTGTAAGAATAACTAGTCTAGTGTGTTTGTAATTTGAACACAAATTCCCTTAACCTTTTCAACTAAGGAATAGAAGGTAGCAACATCTTGATTATACTCTTCTTTGGACTATTTTTTTTGTAAACAATGACATGCTTATAAAATTACTACTAATTTTTACACCTTACAAAATTAGTAATTCCAAAAAAATGAATAAAAAAAACTGTTTCCACAGTGTATTGCAAGGTAGAAAGGGGAAAGTATTAAAAGAAAATAATTGAGATGATACTGCTGATGAGTTTAATGGTCAATCTAAAGGATAAACAAATAAAAAAAATTCAAAGGATATTCATTAACAAATTCTATGATGAAATTCCAAAAATAGTCTACAAAATTTAGTTTCACAAATATAATTTTCTATTTTGCCCATTGGGCGCCGTGCTAGTTATTCCCAACTTGTTTTAGGGGACAGCTAAAATTTCTTGAAAATAACTTTAAATGATTTTCTTATTTTTTGGGGACAACTTTACATATTTATCCCTTATACCACTTAAACTCATATTTGCTGAGACAAACTACAATGGCGTCCCCCAAAGTTTGTCCCCTATCTTTCCTAGTTTTGTAGTGTCTATAATCTATAACCTCCTCGATATAGTGAAACTGGCTCTCCTGCCCATGAACTAGCTAACACATATTGTGTTAATGAACCACGTAAATCGTGTGTCGTGTGCTTCTGTTTTTCATTTTCTTACTTTGTTGATTCCGGCAATTTTCCGATCCGTAGCAGCGCAGTTTTAACCATTTATGTTGTGAAAATAGACAACATAACGTTCCAAATCCTGCCTGCCACGGCATTCCACCTTGTATCATGACACTAATTAGCAATATATTATTTGATTTGTTTATTTGTTAATCATTCCTTGGAATGAAGACAAATGAAGGGATCAAAACTAGGAGTAGGACATAGATATTGCAGGTTGTTTGTTTTAATTATTCCTAATCCTAGGCATAGACAAATGGCCACGTAGTATCGGTATTTAGGTGGGTCTACTATTTCGATCCAGTTGTCTTAGCAAATTTGACAAACTCCAATCTCATCAACAGTAGACAAAGGAAGGCACATTATTAGCGATTACAAAGTAGAGAACATCAAGCACAGAGAGGGAACAGAAATCAGCAATCCGCAAAAATTAATTAACAAACCAACGTAATTAAGTAAGTTGTATATATATGACGCTGGCATTCCTCCCCTAAATCATCCATTCATCATATTCACATATATCCTTCAACAGAAAACCACACACACACACAGCAAGCTAATCATCGATATGACGTCCCAGGTGGCGGCTATGATCCTAATCCAGCTGGCAGTCCTGGCCGGGGCCAATGAGGGCTTCCAGAGCGGGAGCCCCGTGCTGTACACGGTCACCGACATGGCCAACAACACAGCAGGTGGGGCGCGATTCGAGAAGCAGATCGGGGCTCACGTGGCCAAGCTGGCAATGTACGCGGCCACCCGGTTCACCTGGATCGTGTTCAACCAAACCGACGACCTGACCCAACGGAAGAACGTAAGCCGGATCGACCTGTTCATCAACAACGGCACGGCCGCACGTACCAACGGCACCTCAATCCAGGTGGACGCCAACTACATCGCCAACTACACGGGCAACCTTCGGAGGCAGTTCAACGGCATGATGTACCAGGAAGTGGCCCGGATCTGGCAGTGGACAGGCAATGGGCAGGCGCCGGAAGGGCTGGTGAGCGGGATCGCCCATTTCGTCCGGCTCCAGGCCCGTTACGGGACGGTGGAGAAGGTGAGGCCCGGAGAAGGCCACAGGTGGGATCAGGGGAACGGCGTCACGGCCAGGTTTCTCATTTATTGCAATCAGCTCAACAAGGGATTCGTAGGGGAGCTTAATAGGAAGATGAGGTACGGCTACACTGACGGCTACTTCCTGGACCTGCTCGGGAAGACTGTTGAGCAGTTGTGGAGTAACTACAAGGACAACCACGCCCGGGATTCGGCACGACATCATGCCTGATCATCATTACACGCTAGCTAGCTCATTTGTTTATCGTTGACGTTGAGTATCCCATTTTGGCCCCTTGGCAATGTAAGCTGCTGGACTTGTTTTTTTTCCCCTCTTACTCGATCAAGTACGTACGTACTACATATGTACTTACTACTTCAATTATTTGCAATTGTATTTTGATTTGAACAATTATCCGGTTCGCATTACTAATCGCCAAAATTCAACCTTTTGACTACCTACCAGTAAAATTTCACACCTAGGTGTTACAAAAAGAATAAAGTCATTATTGTAAAATAATGATCTAGTCCAACTTCAAGTCCGGTCTCCATTCTCCTATTTAATTTAGCAGCTTCTATCATACTATCCCTAGTCACAAAGGGACGCATACATTCCCCTTGCATTAATTTCTCACTTGACCTTCATGCGTACTAAGTAGTCAAGTAACGTTTCTTCTTATTTTGATTACCTCCCCTTGCTTACCTCTTCTCCATAGTCCTCCACGTAAAATGGGATTTCATTTTCTATAATTATTTAATTTCCTTTCCTAATTTTATCAAATTTTAATTTATTATTATTATTATTATTATGATTTTTAATAATGAAATAGCTAGTCGAACAACTGAGGAGGATTAATGAATTGAGAAGTTGGAAGCTATTGTCCGATCTACGTCTATTCCAATTCACCGTTGTGCGACTATTCTAAATCGGATGGTCAACGTGATGGTTTCGTCGTACGTGATGAGAGGGGTTATCCTACAAGAAATCTAGATGATACGATCATTATTACAACATGTGAGGTTTCACTTACGCCATGGTGGTATAATAGGACTACCCATTCGGTTGCAAAAAAAAGCCCTTGTATCATAGGATCATACGCTTATTGACCAAAGTTATTTTTTTTCTTTCTTTTGTTAGAAGTTATAAGTTCATGGATCTATTTGTAATTAGCCATCCCCTTACGTTAACAAATAGCTAGGGTTGCTGTTGTTAGCTCGACCATTTATATACTCATGTATATGCATTGTATGCGTGTAACCTATTCTCCATGGGCTAGTCTCAACGTCTAATACTGGGGAAACCACGTAAATCTCGTGTTCAACGTCTTCTATCGTACATCAGACATATATTGGGGTATGTTGTATACCATCAATCTCCACCGTCTACGTCCATCTTAATGGCCAACATTAATGCAAGTTTTTTTGTTATTAAAAAATAAATGACCTCATTTATGCTGGCCGTTGAGATGGACTCGGGCGGTGGAGATTGTCTGGTGTACCATAGAACCATCCATATATATATGGGCAATTTTAGGGTGCCCAGGGCAAAATCCGAGGTACAGAAGACCTGGGGCAAGGAAAATTACAAAAAGCATCATGAAGCGTTAAAGCTTTTTTCATTGGACTTCAACCTAACTGTACCAGGTTTAATTATATCGATTAAGAGGTTAAATCCTATGGATACGACCCACCGCCGCCCTAACCAATTTCCAGTCTCCCTTCTACGATCCCTCATTCGTCTTGGAAGGTCCCCTCTTAGTTCGAAGTTCGATCATAAGCTGCCTATCAAATCACTACAAGAAACTTCATTTTTTGCGACGGAAAAAGTCGTCGCGGAAAATATAAAATCCGTCGCGAAAACATATCGGCGACGAATATTGGCGTCGCAAAAGAAATCCAAAGTTCGTCGCTAATACAGCGTCGCAAAAGGGTTTGCGACGAAAAATACAAGTTCGTCGCAGAAGAACATACATTCGTCGCTGAAAGTTAGACATTTCGCGACGACAGGTTCGTCGCCAAATGTTACATTAGCGACGGAGGACTGCGTCGCATAATTCAAAAGATTTTGCGACGAATGTCTTCGTCGCTGTTTCTCTATTTTCTGCAACCGAGGTTAGTCGTCGCCGAAAGTGGTTATTGGTGACGACTTCACTCGTCGCGATTGTAATATTTTCCGCGACGAGTTCTGTCGTCGCTAATAGTATGTCTCCTTCAGCGACGAACGCACCGTCGCTGATATTCTGAATCTATAAAACGTAACTTACTTTGGAATGAAATATACCTTCACAAAAAGTTTATTCGTCACCAAAACTAACCTGCATTGCTGTTATTTCTTTTGTTGATCTTTTGTATTGATAACAACCTGTTTAGATAAACACAAGTCCTTTATAGCTCATAACATAGTTCAAATTGGTAGCTCCGTTGTCGTTTATACAAGCCATATATACTACTAGTACTACTAGGATCTCAATCTCTCATATATAATTATCCATAACATTTGGAATCTTAATATTAGTAGCCCCCTATATCTAGAGTTATGCACATCATAGGAACAGACTTCACGACATGTACATGCTGTCGAATCATTGTCCATGGCAAAAAGATCAACACTAGTTGATAACCTGCAAAATTCAGTAAGGAAGCACCTTAATATGATAACTTTGGTATACAAAAACACAAGTTCAAAAGAAACAATAAAAAAGTTAAGAGTAGTTTTACCAAAATTCTAAGTTAGCTAAGCATGGCTTCTTTAGCTACTGTGCATCCAAAATACTAATCATCACAAAGGTAATCTGTACAAAAAAAAAAAAAACAATGAAGGGCACAAGTTATTGTCTCCTTCGAGACCCACATTAATGAGAATACTTCATAATGAGTTCAAGTGAAACTTAAGAACTTCTCTTACCTGTTTAGCTAAATGTTGCCTCTAGCTTGAAGGTTCGCCATAATCCTCCTAAATTCTGCAAGTTCTTCTTCTACCCTTGTCAATTTGTCAGTAGTCGCTGCAAGTTGTTGATTAGACTCAGCTTGTTTTTCATTAAGTTGAGTCACGTGCTCCTCAAGATTCGCACACCGGTCTTGTAGCTGGCTTTTATCCCTGAATAGTTGTTCATAGTTGGCATCCACATTATCTCTCCTCCTAGATGGGGCTGCCTGTCCATACCCAAGTCCATGACAATATCCCGAGTTGTAACCCAAAACTATATGAAAAGCCTGATCTTCAGAAATGGGCTTATCAGTATCTTTAGAACTATCAACAAGCTCCTGCATCTTTTCCTACAAAATTCATATGAGGAGATGAACAAGAATCACTAAAAAATGATAAAATGCACGACAAATAACAATGGGCAGTAGGTAGAAGATGAATGGAATATAATAAACATTTGCTTTTAAAGAAGGAACCAGATGGTTACTTCTCATAAGTCAAACTTACATATTGTTCTTTTTTGTGTGGGTTCCTCCAAACTCCAGTATCCTTGGTATCCAGCCACTTGAAGAATTCCATCTTTGACAGCTCACCACTCTCTTGCTGTGCTTTCTGTTTAAAATGCACATAAGACACAAAACAACCAAGAACTTAACATTTGGTCATAATAGAAAACATAGTTTTGTGTTATTAAGTAGATAACCTTCTCTTGATACACGCAAACATAGGCTGCTCTTCCCTCAGTGTTTAGATTCATCACTTGACCCCGATTTGCTGCATTCATCTGAGCAATTTCCTGTGACATGCTCGTACTTGAAGTGACCAATTTAATCTAATGTTAATCTCTGTACTTGCAAGTTTAAGAGGCATACCTGCACTTTTTCAGTGTCCCAATGGTCACACAAGTTTTTCCACGTCTCTTCATCTAGATAACTAGGCTTGTTTTGCCTTGCCATTTGCTTGTTGATAGAATAATGAGTAGCTTTTGTTTTGCTCCTTCTATCCTTCACAATTTTCTGAAACCAGTCCCAAAGTTTGTCCATCTCCACAGGCCTTTCTCTTATGTCTCCCATATCAAGTTTCAGCTTGCATTAGATAAATCATTATGTCAGATTAGGTAGCAAGGACACTAATAATATATAATAATTATATCAATTACCTCTAACTTCAGTATGACCTCTTCCAGCATAGTACCCTTCTCTTTCGACTTATCAATTGGCCAGTAATAGTCATGTGAGATGAAACCAAGTACGGTGCCAATATCATTACTTTGCTGCCTATTAAGCGGTCGACCCAAGAATCCATCGATCTCAAATTCTGGCTTTTTTCCAGCCTTCTCAGTCCGCTTGTTACACAAATAAAAACTATGCAATCTGGCTATCTCTAATTACACAAATAAATTATTAACTAAGTTCTTTAGCTAACGAGTAAGTTACCTTTGATTAATATTTATACATATGAAGTTTCAGGACTTCAAGTACTAACAGCAAAATTTCAAATAAAAGAAAACCAAGTTTAGTTTCCTACTTCCTACACTGCTACAAAGGAACGAAGCTAGCTAGCTAAACATAAACGTGTTGCTGTGAGAGACAGAGGAGGCAACAATTAAACCTTATCTACGCAACTATACATGGCCAAGAGAAAAGCACAATTCAAGAACAAAGTTCCATATTGACTTTTCACAACCTCCCCTCCCTTCCTTTCTCTATAAACACCCACGCAAAGCCAAAAAGGCATGAAGGAAAATCAATGGGAATTGATAAAAATAAACAAAGAGATGGAAAAGGGTACTGGGTAACTCTAGTTCGAGTAACACACTCACAGTCTCAACAAACAGCTACAACCGACAAGGAGAAAGTAGGGAACACTACGGTTTGCAGCTGCAGAGCGTTCAAGGAGATCGAGGCAGAGAGCTTCAGGGCATGGGGAAGGAGTTCTAGGAACAAGAATGGAGTCACTGGTCGACGACGAGATCTGAAACAGAATGGAGGCAAGAAGAGGGGTTAAATTTGCGATTTATAACACTGCACTCATCCAGGAAAACCTAGTTTTTTCATGTCGTACATGCCCCTCCAAAATTCGTGCCGTAATGCTTGAATCCTTCGCCCCCAACACCAATTAACCTTCAGCAATAGTCGAAAATGAACACATCACAACCTGAATGGCATGTCGGTAGGGAAACATTGAAGAAATACTTACAGGGAACTCTTGAGCTCATGGACGGAAAGAAGAATTGAGAATCGACAGGGAGAAGGAGATGCGACGGATGACGGGCGGAATCGAAGAGCAGTATCATACAGAATCAAAGGGAATTTCTCGCCAACAGCGTTGGAGAATCGGTTCTCGACGGCGCCATTTGGGTGAGAGTTCGTTCTTTCAAGATCAAGGAGAAATTTTAGGGTTCTAGAATTTGAGGAATGAAAGAAGAACGATAGCCAAAGGGAAAGAAGACCCCAACGCCACCGTTTCATTAGGTAAATAAAATAATTATTTATTTATTAAATTAAAAACTTACGGGACACAGGGTGTGGAGAAATAGATCGTCGTGAAAAGTAAAATTCCGTCGCGGAAACCTCTGCCCCATCTTCCGCTGGAACCTGACACTATCAGCGACGGAATAGAAAATGTCGTCGCAAAATGTGTGCTTTTTGCGACGAATTTCTTGTCGTCGCAAAAGAATTCGTCGCAGAAGGTACAGTTTCTTGTAGTGAATTCGAAATCTCCAACAAAATCATTGTTTCGAAACCCAAATCCTTTTATTATTTGATCCACATTCGATTTAGCTCCCTATCCAATCTCAAATCCCCAACATCATCATTTTTCATACCCCAAATCTCTGTATCCGCATTCTAAGAGAAGATCCCCATCCAATATGAAATCCTCACATAATCATCATTTTGAACTCCAAATCCTTGTATCCACAAATCGACGTTTTGTTCCTCGCCATTTTATTTCCGGGCGGAATTTACTCACCTATCTCTTCCTAACACGATTACGGCGACCATGTCTATTATTGTGTTCACGAAATTTTTCATTTGCAAAAGAACCCTTGAAATAGGTTTGCTAACCCTAGGGTTCATGTCGCTAGTGCTTTGTCATCTTGTCTTAGCGTTATTATCATTTGCAAAATAACTTCTATCTCTCGGTGAAATTAAGGTTTCCTGATATGTAGTGTTCGTCTCGCCCAGAGGATTGAGGAAGAAGATGAAGAAGACAGAATTTGATTCGAATCGGATGGAGAGGTCTCCTTAATTTGTGTTTATGTATTAACGGTGCGTTTAGGACTAATTCTAGTTGGACTGGGTTTGATCATTGATTTTTGCAGTCTTTTAAATAACATTCAAAAGTGGGCTTGTACATGATCCATGGCACCTAGTTTGTTGATAATAGATAATGAGTTCCTGATAGTCATTAGGTTGGGCTTTTGATAATTGTCTATCACAGTTTTCGGTTCTTTGTTTTACTCGATTTTATATTTTATTTTCATCTGCTTCTGCTTCTGCTTCTAAAATCCTGATTATGCCTTGAGTTCACGCAATTTAAACATAATTATGTGTTCCATCTTTTTTTGGGATTTGGTAAATGGTAGCTTGTCTCTTTTAACATTTAGCAGTACGAGGTAAACTACAATCCGCCCAATTTAACTCTTCATTAATTGGCCTTATCCCACTCTCTCACTGATTGCCCCTCTTTATGCAATGCACTCGTACATAACAAACCTCTTGTAGACTAATTAGAGGCTTGTGGTTGGATACTGAGTGAAGATATTTTCTTAATTTATGTTTTGAAACGAAAGTTAGAATTTCAATTTTGAAGTACCTATGTACTTTAGTTGGGCAAGTATTTTCAAAATATAAAATTGTATCCGCGGATAGGTATACGATTGTTGTATAAGGTGTTGATGTTAAAGGAAATGGTAAACCTCAATGCGAAAAGTTGAGATTCATCTATTATATCCGGCTCCTCCAAGCTCTCTAGTGTCTTCGGCTTCTTTGACCATCGTCGACGTACTAGGCCTTCAGGAAGTTCCAGTATGCTCTCTTCTTTTAGTACAAAAATCATATGACGGCATGGTATTCCCATATAATCGTAGTGATTACAACTACACTCCATTACCGCCGCTCCACTCTTCTGAAGTGAGACTAAGACATTGCTTGTGATGGTTCGTTCTCGATGAATGGATTCAAAATCAGCATGACGGTCATTCTCCCTCATATCCCTAGTCCAACGATCAAAGTGAATAAAGAACTCAAGGAGATTTTTATCCTTCTCGATATAATTGGCAAGTTGAGAGTTCAGTCTTTCACATCTTGATGTTGTACTCAAACCTACGAAGAACTTCGAAACCAAATATGCAAACCCCCATTCATGTCTTTGTGCAAATAAATTGGAGACCCAATTTTTGTGGTGAAGGGAGCATTCCTCAACCACTAATTTCCACTTTTCTTCGAATTCTGAAGGTTCCCAATCAGCTGACACAAAATGCTTCCATCGGGGCAAAAAAGTAGGATGATTCTTCACATTTCTGGTTATAGTCTTACCTATATGCCAGGAACATAGACGATGTGTTGCATCGGGAAATACTTTATGAATTGCATTACGCATTGCTTTATCCCCATTTGTAATATCAGTCTTGGGATCTACACCGCCTAGCCTTCTCTTCAAAACTCCCAACACCCAAATATAATTTTCCACTCTCTCGTTAGCCAAGAAAGCACATGCAAATACACAGGTTTGCGAATGGTGGTTGACACCTAAAAAAGTACAAAATAAGTTAGATTATGCAAAATGCTAGGGTTATTTTATAATGCTCGGGATAATTCTATGTGTGAAGGAAAAGTACCTGAAAAAATCACGAGAGGCATCTGGTAAATGTTCCTTTTGTAAGTAGCATCGAATGACAGTAATTCTCCAAAGCATGCATAATCAGCAACAGAAACAATATCGGCCACAAGATGTTAATAAGTCGATCGTCTTCATCCTTTTTTAGTTCAATAACGAAATGATCGTCCGCGCTGCATTTAGCTTGCAGGTAGGCTAGGGCTGTTGCGGCATCACCTTCACTGATTTGTTCTTTCCTCTCTTTGTCCACATAATTATATGCATCCTTCCTCGTGTACCCCAAATTTTCGTAGCCTCCTGCTTCTGATACGGCCAGATTCACAATTTGAGAAGTTTTCATACCTACAGCTCTTCTAAAATTTATCGGTGCTTTGACGGCATCACTCGTACGACGTTTCCCTTTCATGTAGTGTCTATATACTCTGGGGATCGTTTCATGTGTGTGTACATCATCCAACTGGTGCACATACCACTTCCCATCGACCTTGTCGTGTTTAACACGCATCTTGGCTCTGCAGTTAAATCTGGTCTCCCCTCTTGCTTCTCTCTTTTGTTCTGAGCTTTTCATGCGCCTCTTTTCCTCGCCAGAGCATACATATTCACGCCATATCATCACTTGGTTCTTATCACGACCAATGTCTGATTTTATGATGTCAAAGCCTTTGACTAACCCATAGTCCATGTAGAAATCATAGGCTTCTTCTGTATCATCGAACTTCATTTTTTTAATATCTTCAGGCTGTAGAAATATGAGATCGGCGACATTATCTTCCTGGGTGGTGTGACTGGCTCCGACACCATCGTTGTCTTGGACTGGCTCCCACGTTAATAGTAGGACTGCCTCCAACGTCAATAGTGGGTCTGCCTCCGACGTCATTGTCACTGCGGGAAATTTTGGGGAACAAACGATGTAGATTACAAAACCCTACTGGGAATGATGACCGAATTAATGCTTGAATGGGCCATTTAATAATTACCCCATTAAAGCGAATCATAACACGATTTGTGATATCTTATTTTTTTGGTAGGAACTATTTGAACTTTCTATTCTTTATCTTAGTAATTTCTTTACCATTTTTCAGAAATAACGAAAATAATAAAAATGAAAAGGAATGCTTAGCAAAGCCAAACGCCAACTGACTCTATCTGTGTACTACGTGAATGGGGAAGGATCAAATATTAATATGAGCGAATATTTACTAATAACACTCAATTTTTTATTCAATCGAAAAACAAAATATATTTTTATTTTTAAGTTTAATAACTACCCATGTTTATCCCAAGTTCATGTACCTTAGACTAAACCCTAACTATTTTTTCGCGGGAAAAATATGTCGGAACATTTTTTTTTTTTTGATGAAGCGGTTGGGATTTCATTTCATCAAAACAGGAACCAAGTACACCGCTGGCAACAGCTCTGCCAGCTGAGCAGAAGGGAGAACAATCCCTAAAACAACTCAAAGACCTATCAAGTTA